TAGAGATCGGTTCTAGGGTCATTATATGTTGTTGGTGAATTGGTTTAAGGGTCCCATTCACTAGAGTTGGAATATACCTCGTCATTTGACCATGTCGTATCAACTGGAACCCTTTACCCTATCGAAAGGATCGGAGGTACGCAGGATTGAGTGAACAGCTTTCTTGACCCGATGCAACTTTAAGGAAGATTGCCCCTAGGTGATAATAGCAACTCGGTTTGCTTAATTCTAATGACGGGAAAGGACCCAAATAATGCATCTGAATGTATGCAAAAGGAGATTTCTCAATTAGACCCAAACTGTAGATTTGAAGCCTACTCAATAGTCCTCTTACTATGGTCCGGATTCCGCAAACATGATTCGGGCTTTTAAATGGGCCTACTCCTTTTGACGCATCGTTTAAGGTATTAGGCTTGCGGTTGGTAAAATTGTTAATTCTCGGGTGGATGTGCCAAAAACGCAAGGTTTAGACTGGATCCACCTCTGATGTTAAAAATGATACCAAGGGATAATATGGGTAGAAAGTGGTGACAAGAGAGAAATGCAGTATGGATGCAAGAATCTTAGAAAAGTAAATCAAAATAAACAAATACGGATGATTAAAGAATTTTCCGCGGCTTTCTAACCAATTTATTTCAATTTAGAAAAAGTAGGTTTAGAGTTAATTCCTAATTACAACCATCTAGTTAAAAATAACGTTTAAAGGTATTAGGCTTTGCGGTTGGTAAAATTGTTAATTCTTCGGGTTGGATGTGCCAACGCAAAGGTTTAAACTGGATCCACCTCTGATGTTAAAAAATGAATACCAAGGGAATTAATAATGGGTAGCAAGTGGTGACAAGAGAAGAAATGCATGTTGGAAATGCAAAGAATCCTTAGAAAAAAGTAATCAAAATAAACAAATACGGATGATTAAAAAGACATTTTTTCCGCGGCTTTCCTACCAATTTTTATTTCATTTTTAGAAAACAGCGGCTTTCTAACCAATTTATTTCAATTTAGAAAAAGTAGGTTTAGAGTTAATTCCTAATTACAACCATCTAGTTAAAAATAACCGGGGATTAGTGGTTGTTTCCCCAGTGAAGTCGCCAATCTGTTTTCGCACCGCCCCCGAGCGATCCGAAAAACACTCGATTTTTGTTTTTGGAAATTGGAAAAGTGTTTTTATCAAGAACAGTGGTGACAAAACACTTTTGGATACGATGCCGATAAATCAGTCTTATAAGACATTTTGAGTCGCCCCCCATTTTTACGGCAATGGGACCGTTTCCAATTTTAAAAGTGACTTCATTTAAAATCCAATTTTATTTAAGGCCAAATTATTTAGAGAACTGGTCAAACACACCGAATGCGATTCTGGGTAAGGGAATTGGGTACGTCGGCCCTTTGGAAGCCGACGCCCGAAAAAATCAGCCTCTTTTAACCTACAATTTCTAATTTTAATTTAGAAAAGCCAAATAATTTATTCAAACCCAACCCAAATAAATCGAACCGAGTTCCTATATGGAAAATTATTTAATTGTCCCAAACAAGTTCAATCATTGCATTCATAATCATTCAAACCATTCAAATCATTCAACCCAAAGCAGTTAAGTCAAAGTAAACAAAAGACCCGCTCTTGCCTTATAGTTAAAGGCGGGCCACAAACCGAACCTAAAAATACACCCACAACCGAACCTAATACATTCTAACATTCCCTACCAATTTGATCCAAGAACCTTAAAAACCCGAATTCATGCATAATTAATAATATTAATATACTAAAAAACTTGATTAACCAACTGCAATCTGCCTCCCAATTTGGTTGTCTCTTGACTTATTAAAAGAATTAATTAAATTTTATTTAAATTGTACGAAATTATTATTTTTAAAAGAACAAAATATCTTTCTGGAACCTAGAACAGTCCGCGTCACGCAGCTGTTCTATGAAGACGCAGCTGTTCTATGAAGAACAGCTGCGTGACGGATCCGATAGCCACGTGACGTAGCTGTTCATAATTTGGAGAACTCCAGATTCGTCAATTATATATTTTAGATCCATAATTAAAAATATAATATAAAAAAAACAAAATAAAATTATGAATACGAACAGTTCCGTCACACAACCACTAGATCTGTTACGGATCTACTAGCCGCGTGACGCGACTATTCTAGGTAAAGAGATTATGTTTTGGACATGAACAGTTCCATCACGCAACTACCAGGTCCGTTACGGATCTAATGGCTGCGTGACGCAACTACTCTGGTCCGTTACGGATCTAATGGCTGCGTGACGCAACTGCTCTGGTCCGTAATTACTTTTCAAACAACCCTTTTTACGTTTTTCTTTTACTTAAACATGCTTTAATAAAGTCTAGAAACACCCAAGAGTGAGCAAAATACTGTTTAACTAAGATTAAACTACTAAAGTAACGATAAAATAAATAACAATGAATTAACCACTAAAAAGACAAAGAAAAGTTAACAATGAATTAACCACTAAAAAGACAAAGAAAAGTTTAGGAGAATTACCTAACCCTCAGACTGAGAATTGTAAATAATCTGAATGCCTTAAATAATGAAATTTCAGGGTTCCGGAAGCTTTTGTCCACTAGAATTCAACACTCACCTTTTCTTCTTCCTTTCTCCTCTTTTCTCTAATTTTCGTTTTTACTTAATCGATATCTAATTGCTGTTTTTCTTCAAGGGAACTCAGAAGAGTTTCTTGCAGAAAACCTAGCCGCAAGTGCGTATTTTTATGCCCTAAAATTCTTGTCTCGTTTAAGAGATAACATGATGTATTTATAGAGGTAGGCAACAGGGGATAGTTGCGTCACGCAGCTGACGGCTGCGTGACGAACCCGATAGCTGCGTGACATAGCTCACTTTCTGGATCGTTGCCACGTACTCAAACAGAATGAAAAATAGTTATGTCGGCATTCACGTTGACGTCATCTAGATTGTAGCTGCGTGACGCAGCCAATAATGCCGTCACTGTCACACCTTACCTTACTGTAAGACATGGCATGTCGCCCGTAATATATTTAATAAGCACTTAAGTCTTATAAATGCTTACTAAGTATACTATATAGCACTTAAGTCTTTATAAAATGCTTACTAAAGTATCACTACAAGGGATCTTAATACTGTGATTCTTTCAAATTATAAAATTCTTCCATGTTCCTTTTAAAATTGAAAATTGCAACTATAAATCCTCACCCTTTTGTTTTCCCTTCATCCTTTCGGCACTCTAATTCTTTTTAATCCACTTCACTTCTGTCCTAGTAGATATCAACCAAATGTATTTAATATTTAAAACCCCACTAAGGACGAAGGTCATACTGAAATTACCATTGTTTTCGGGCCTTTTCGGGTAAAACTCGTGCAATTTACCAAAGAAAGTCAATTCCTCTTATTAACTTTTTTGATTATCCTTTAATCTTTCAAATTGATATATGTAAACCACATTAATACTATTTAATTAATATTCACAAATCCTCAATTTAGTTCAATATATAGTGTTTCCCATTATTCTAAATTTTCCTTTCATTCGGATAATCGAATTCATCGAAAAAGCTAGAATAGCAGGAACTACAAAGTTGAGGATATTACAGTCACGCACCTACTAGCTACGTGACGTAGCTGTTATGAAATTCAGACACACTTCACTTGATCTAAATTAAATCCTTGGCTTAAAAGACTTCCGGATAGCCGCAACCCTTCATTCTGCGTCCTCGTATCATCATTGGGTTAGGTGAGGACATAAAGACACGCGTCAACACAGACGCGCTTTATATGTTATGAATAAGATGACGACCTAAGGTCATTATGAAAAGATTGGCGACCTAAGGCCATTATGAATAACTTATGAAAACCTATCTGCTTCTCTTTCTCCTAAGAGTATGCGAGCCCTTGGAAAATATTTGTAAGGCAATTAAATGAATGTGATCATATTCTTTTAATAAACCTTATTTTGGAAATTTATGATTATGTTATCAAATGAATTTTCAAAGCATGATATTTCGGTACATGATTTTAAAATAAAAAGTATGTGTATTGGTATAATAAAAGTTCAAGTAATGAATTTATGATTTGAAATAATTAAATTATTTATATTATTAATTATAAGTTTATTTGATATCTCTAAGTAAAGAACTAAAGTATTTTATGGTGATTAAATGTTTATGTAAAGGATTTATGGTATAAAGAACTAAGTATTTATGTTATTAAATATGAGTTTATTTGATATTTCTTTTACTATAAATATAAATGTATGTTGAAATTTAATGACTCTATGATTATAAATGATTATATGAAAAAAAAATTATTACTCGCTAAACTTGTGAATACTCAATTACTTCTAATTCATAATCTAATTTCTTATGATTTATAAGTTAAGTTAGGTCATAATCTAATTTCTTATGATTTATAAGTTAAGTTAGGCCAGTGTCTCCGGCACCGAATGTTGCATCCGCCGTCGGGTCTCTCGGGACTGGGCGGTGGATGTTACAACTTCGTGGACATTCTTACAAAGAAACTCATAAACAAAAGAAACCAACTAATATTTTGAAAAATAAAGATTGAATATAAAAGAAAATTTAATAGTTAACAATAAACCTATAACAGTTTTATCATTCGAAAATGATGCAATAATAAGAAAGGCCAAGGAGACTTGCAAATTAATAAACATAAAGTAAGACACAAATTGAATGTTTTAGTCATTTAATGTGAAGAATTTCAGTTCTGCAATTTAAATATATTAGTGACTTAAAGCAAAATTAAATATATTAGTGACTTAAAGCAAAAAAGGGCAAGGAGATTTGCAAATTAATATACATAAAGTAACACACAAATTGAATGTTGTAGTCATTCAATGTGAAGAATTTCAGTTCTATAATTAAATATATTAATGACTTAAAGCAAAAGAAAAAAAAAAAAAATTCAATTCTTCTCTTCCTTATATGTAGCCCACAAATGTAACCATCAAAGTTAAACTATAAAAGAAAAGAAACCAACTAATATTTTGAAAAATAAAGATTGAATAAAAAAGAAAATTTAATAGTTAACAACAAACCTATAACAGTTTTAACATTTGAAAATGATGCCATAATGAGAAAGGCCAAGGAGATTTGCAAATTAATATGCATAAATTAACACTCAAATTGAATGTTGTAGTCATTCAATGTGAAGAATTTCAGTTCTACTATTTAAATATATTAGTGACTTAAAGCAAAAGCAAAAAAAAAGAAAAAAAAAAAAAGCATATACAATAGGAATATTACCTAAGGCTTATTAGCAATCCTCCATTAAATTTTCATGAATATACTCCTTCTGTCATTACCTTCAATAGATATATATGTATAAATCTTAAAAGAACTTTTCCCATTGCCTTCAATAGAAAATGCTTTTTCACTGCATATACATAGAATTAACATGAATTACCTTAATTCGCATTCATAAAATGCAATAAATCAACAAAACAGGAAAACCCAGAAATTAAAATTCAAAGAAATTATTATTAGACCAAAAAATTCAAACCATAGTTAACATAATATACATATACTAAATCACTCTCACATAGGCAAATGAACTTTCTCAACTTCATGGACCTTCTTACAAAAAATAAAATAAAAAATAAAAAACTCATAAACAGTAACACAAAAAAAAAAAAAAAAAAAAAAAAAAAAAGCAAACCCATTGCATATAACAAAATACAAAAAAATTAAATTAAATTTAGCATTCTATTACACGTAGAATTAAATTAAAAAAGCAAAAAAATCACTTACTGAACAGACCAGTTTATAAACAGTAAAAAAACCCTAAATTAAACAAAACACAAACCAAATCTTAACTATTCACGATTAACTCAACATCAATAACACGCAAACGAATTAATCAAAGATGAAAACTCACCTTCAGCTCAAATATCACCAGCATAGAATCAAATCAAAACAACTACGAATTGCATGCAACACATCAAAATCAAATAAAAACTAAATAAAACTAACAGTAGCAAAGAGACTTAAATTAAAAATAAAAAAAGAAATCACTTAAAAATCTACTGAGTAAACCTATTCATAAACAGAAGCAAAAAACCCTAAATTTAAAAAAAAAATTTCAAATTAACAACACAGAAATCGAAGAAGAACCCAAATATCACAGAAGAGGATGAGGAATCGTCGGAAAACCCATTCGTAAAAAAAAAAAAAAAACATTCTGTAAAAAAAAAAAAAAAAACACCCTAATTTTCAAATTAAACAAACACAGAAATCGGAAGAAGGAGAAAGCTTACATTTACCCAAAATATCAAATTAACAACACAGAAATCGAAGAAGAGAAAAGCTTACATTTACCCAAATATTGTAGAAGATGATGAGGAATCACGCAAAAGCTAGAAAAAGAAGAGAAAAAAATAAAGGAAAAATCGCAATCAATAAAGAAACAAAAAAAAAAACACAACAAACAATACAAAATCGAGAAAAAGAAGAAAAAAATTAAACGCTGTAGAAGAAGGCCATGAATCGTAGAAAACAAAAGAGGAGTAGAGAAAACGCTGAGAAAAGAAAAGAAAACAAAACAAAATAGGAAAAAAATCGCAATCAACAAAGAAAACAAAAACAAAAAGAAAATGTAAAACAAAGAAAACAAAATCAAGGAAAATAAGAGAAAAAATCAAACACAACAAAAGAAGATGAATGGCAGAAAAGAAAAGAAAACAGAAGAAAAGAGGGCGCTGATAAAAGAAAAAAAAAACAAAAAGAATTGAAAGAGGAAACAAAGAAAGGAGAAAATAGAAAAATTAGAAAAAAAATAATAAATAAAACAATACGTGGCAAAAAGAAAAACAGCTAGCTGACATGCAATCAACCAGTTGTTAAATGAGATGAGCCACCCACGCGTCCCGTACACCAAAAAAGTGAAGAAAAAAAAGCACTAAAAACCACACCATTCAACCTTGAACCAAATACTAGTCTTAGTCACAAACCAAGCACACTAACCAACAAGAGTGCCAAAACACAACAATATAAATCTGTCTTGCTTGAAGCTTGAGCGATGCAAAAGTGAACAGTGGCATAAACACACTCTTCCTTTAGTATTTTATAATTATCTATCCTAAACACTACTAGTATTTGAAGTTGTTGAAATTATATCCTCTATCTAAAATCTAGCCCCACTTAATTGAATTTTGAATCCAACCACATAGCAGCAACGTCATTGACATGCTGAGTTCTAAAGGACATAACAATAAAATGAAGGTGTATAATTAAATATTTATTTTAAGTGGCAATAAAATAAAGAGACACGCCAATTAGCATGATGGACAATTCTGAAGGAACCTGAGAAATAGTATTCACATATAATAATAATTAATTAAGAATATATATTTTCTAAAGGATAGTTTATAAAATAACCAATACAAATTAATAAAAATATTTATATTTCCTATTTAATGAAAATTTGCGTGTTTATGTTTAATTTTAGTATATAACTGGTTTTTAACGATAGAACTCATTAACAATAAAAGAAAAAACATTTAGACATTAAAATACATATTAAACAATTTATTCGAATAACTTTTATTATTGAATTTCAATATAAAAGTTGAAAAAATGTTACAAAGCGCTACTTCTTATGATATAAGTTTAAAATTGGAATATGTGAGAATTAAATTTAAAATGGCTGAATGCATAATTTTCTTCTTGAATTTTTTCAAATTATCATTTGTGTCCTTTAACTTTGCGAGAGACCACCTATGGACATTATCTCGTTTCTTTTGTATATATTATTCCCTTATTGGTCCAGTGAGTATGATGCGTCAATACACTCTAAAAGTCGCACGTAAAGATTGTAATTCTCAAACAGTTGACATTTTTAATTATTAATTCATTTACTTTTTCTCTCCTCCATCTCTACTTTTTTCTCTCCTCCATCTCTACTTTCTCTACATCTTCTTCTTCTTGCAATTCTTGAAGCTATAAATCTATAAAGAAGAAAAGATTTTTTGCTTTTTCAATTTGGATTTTTTTCTCTTTTTCTCTTTCCCTTTCTGTCTCTCTCCATAGTTGTTTTTCCCTTTTTATCTTTCAATTTATCTCTCAACGATTGTTTGAAGATGGATTTCTTCAATTTTTTGGTTAAATTTTTTAGCTTTCAATCTAATTTCTATATCTCTCTTTTTCAATTTTATTTTTTTAATTTTTAATCTCCATTTCCTTCTCAAAGCACAAAAATCCTAAATAATTGATAAATCATAGCATGTAGAAGAAAGGAGAAATAGATGTATGAAGAAGGAAAGAGAAGGCGATGAAACAACAGGAATTGATGAGTGGAAAATGGAAAAAGAAGATTTGAAGAAGAAAGGAAAAAAGGGTGAAAATAATATTTTGGATCTTCTTGATGAGAGCTTTAAATATTCTTTTTATATGTAATTGATCTTTAGTGCTTGAAATTTCTTTAACTTTTTTTTTTCTGATCTTTCATTCCATTTCAGATCCTTTGTTTTCTTTGTATTTGTATTTTTTAAAAAAATTAAAAAAAAAGTGATGCTGAAATTGGTGGATGAAACTGTTTATGTGTTTCTTCATTCTTTTATTTTTTAATATAAAAATTGCCATATCACTGATTACTTGTCAACTGCGAAGGCCATGTTAGAGTTTGAATTTCACGCAAATTTCTGTGAATGGGGAGGTGCATAATAGTTAAAAAAATGAAAGTTGAAATGCATAAAAAGTCAATCATAAATTTCAATAATAAATGGTTAATCCCTTGTTTGGAATAAATGAATTCCACAAAATTTTATGGAATTCATTTAGAAATCCATATTATTGTGTTTGGAATAAAAAGATGTAGATTTCAATTCTAGGAATTTAATTCCATAAAATTCGACTAAGCAATATGATACGGATCCACTACCACCAACCACCTATGGAGCTCAAGGAAACAAGGACCACAACAATGGCAATCCATTAGCACTTCCTAATGGACCATTAGCACTTCCTAATGGACCATTACAAGGAGCCGTGCAAAGAAGTATGGAGGCAACCCATGTCGCTTATATTTCAAGAACAAATCACCACAGAGCTCCATGACCTTGCTTTTCAACAAGGTGCTATTGAAGAACTTAAGGAACACCTAAGTTTCTCACATTAATAGAAGGCACAAGTTGAGCTGGTTAACCATGTTTGGGATAAGACGGCCCATTGCAAGGTGCACCACCCCAGGCCATGCATGTTGGAATCGCGCTCGCGATTTGCGCTGCCTAACTCACTGCCTCTCCTTTGCGCTTCTCGCGCTCGCGCAGTGAAGATTCGCGCTCGTGAAGTGTCGCTCGCGCTCGCGCATGTTGGAATCGCGCTCGCGAGTTGCGCTGCCTAACTCACTGCCTCTCCTTTGCGCTTCTCGCGCTCGCGCAGTGAAGGTTCGCGCTCGCGCTCACGCATGTTGGAATCGCGCTCGCGACTTGGCGCTGCCTAACTCTCTGCCTCTCCTTTGCGCTTCTCGCGCTCGCGCACGGTAGAGTCGCGCTCGCGAGATGTGGTCGCGCTCGCGTATGTGAAACTCGCGCTCGCGAGTTACGCTGCCTAACCCTCTGCCTGTCCTTTGCACTTCTCGCACTCACGCAGGTCAAGCTCGCGCTCGCGAGTTGCACCAGTGTGTAGCAACTGTAGCAAAGTCAAGTTCAAATTTACTGTAGCAAAGTCAAACTTATTGGCACGGGCACTGTAGCAACATTAGGAGCCTAGGAATGCCTTCAAGGTCCTCACAACACGTGTTAAATGCGACATCATGAAGTTCTCGTGTTATTTGGGCTTGAACAAATAGTGATACGGCTGCTCCATATCGCTTGGCACGGCTCCTTTATGATTTTGGTTAGTCATCTTAGTTTGGTTTTAGATTTGCTAAATGCTACTCCTTAGCTAACTCTAAATCCTCCTAAGGATCTGGACCTCTTAGAATTAGTATAAATAGCTGTTATTTTTTGTAATCTTTCAAGAATCAACATTAATGAATTAAAGACTATTTCCTTCATGCTTAGGCGTGTTCATGTTTTTTAGAGAGTGTGAGATTGCAATTCTTCTAATTGCATAAGAATCAAGGTAACTTATCAATTCTTTGTGGCGTTTTATCTTCTTATTCTTTTACTCTATTATTGGTGTTTCTTGCTTTCTTTAAGCTTTGGGTGCCATAGAGGGGAATTTATTCTAGATCTTTGATAATATTCCAAAACTTTGTCATTGAAGTTCAATGAAAATTTAAATTTTCATTGGGTTCCGCGTCAGTTTTTGGTATCAGGCCAAGAGATTAAGGTAAATTCTTATTTATCTTAAGTCTAGGATTCTGTTGTTTTATTTGTTTTTCTTATTCTTATTGTTCTTGTGTTTGGTTTTCTTTTCATTTTTCTTTTTATGTTTGTTTTCTTGTTTGATGTTTCAATTCGTTTTTTGTTTCAATTAAATTTATCAGTAATTTTCGTGCTGTTTTCAATTTCTGGAAGTTTAGATCTTAGATCTTGTTGTTAAATAAAAAAAAAAAAAAAAAAAGAGTATAGAAAGAAAAATTTCGTCACCATTTGAAATTGCTTTGTGTGGATCTTGATTTTGTTCCTAGCAACCAAGAGATTTGATCCTAATTAAAAGGGATTTTACCTTATTTTTGTGGGATTTTTGCCATCATTTGTTTTGATTATTCCTAATCCTTAAGAGAATTGACCATATCTAGTTGGGTTTAATCTCGATTATTGGTGTTTCCGTTTCATTATAAACGTGGGGTGCCATAGAGGCGAACTTATATCTCATTCTTTGATCCGATCCGTATCATTAACTACTTGCGGATAAGATAACAAAGAATAGTTGACCATATCTTTGAGATTGAGAAAATCTACTACAATCCTTGTCAAATCTAAGATCCTACTTAAATTGGGTTGCATTAAAAAGGGAACAAGGCAGCACGCCCGTGCTTCACCTCAAGCACAACCGTGCACTCTTCTGACTTCCACTTGTCGGACTAAGACCATACACGCACGCCCGTGCTCCATCTAGCACGCCCGTGCTCAATTTTGTCCATTGTTTTCTTTTGTTTTTTTCTTTGATTGCTTGCTTTGTTTTGGGTGGAATTAATTAGGTCCATATTTGGTTTGCTTTGTAGTAAGCTAAATTCATACATTATATCCTAATATTGTCTTTTAAATTCTAGTTTCTTTGTTTTTATGTGATGTGAACTTTCTATTGGCTTCTATTACATTGTTTTAGGGGTGTGTTTGCTTGTTCACTACACTCTAATTGATATTAAAGTAGTGCATTGTTTAATGTTTTCCTTGTGCTACTGTCCATATCGTTTTTTTTTTTTGTCTTCTTTCTAGATTTTGTGCTTGGCTTTTCATTGTTAAGTTTTATTCCTTGGGACTCTTTTAAACGTGATCTTTGAGTTGGTTGGTTGAACTTAAGATTCTTCAATTGGAAGAATTGCAAGGAGTGATTTCAAGAGTGTAAACACGTGAGGGAGTGATTTATCAATAACCCAAATCTTTTGTGTTTTCTTTTGAATACTAACCATGTGTATAGGCAAATCTGGAGATGGTAATGATGGAATTCCAATTAAAGATCCTCAATTAAAACTCTTCATGGAAGCAATTCAAGGACAGTTTAAAACCTTCAATAATCTTGTCCAAGACATGAGGGAGGAATTGCAAGAGATAAAGGCTTCACAAAGCTCTAATACAACTAGAACTCATCCACAAACCAGATTTCAAGACCATGATGTTTCAAGACCATGATATTGAAGAGAGTGAAGAGACCAATCCTAATAAACTTGATGGGGACTTGGGATCAATTAAAATGAGGATTCCAGAATTCAAAGGCAATAACAATGCTGAAACAGACTGAATACGAGATTCGGTTAAGATCAGTAGAACGAAGTACCAAGAAATTGCCAAATTTGCTTAACAAAACATCTGGTAAGATTTCTTGTTCAATCTTTCGAGTTCCTCAAAACCTAATGAAAATTCATCCCCAAGCCTTTAAACCTCAAATAGTCTCTATAGGCCCGTACCACCATGGGAGAAAAAATCTCCAAACAATTCAAGAACAAAAAAGGAGATTTCTTGGCATTGTTCTTGCTAGAACGCAAGAACGCGGTGTTAGTATCGATGATTTTTTCAAGGCTATAGCACTCAAAGAAAAGAAGATAAGAGAAAGTTATTCAGAAACCTTGAAATATAACTGCTATGATTTAGTTGAAATGATGGTTCTTGATGGTTGTTTTATCATGGAGCTTCTTTGTGTTGTAGGAGGTGTATCGCTATGATTCCATGGAAGAGATGGTTGATATGGCCATGAAAATTGAAAGGCAGAAAAAGGGGAGATCCACCAACAAGTACCCTAACAACACATGGGGATCTAAATGGTCCAAGGGAGGTGAAAAGAGAGGGAATTTAAGGGTTCTAATTCTCAAAGGACAGATTCAACAGATTCAACTTCAAAGGGTAAAGAAACTGTCCGAACTCCATTTAAAAGCAACAAAGGTACTTCTAACTCTACAACCCCTTCTAGAGAAATTAAATGCTTTAAATGTTTGGGGAAAAGGCATTTTGCATCTCAATGTCCTAATAAAAGGGTTATGATTATTAAAGATGATGGGAATGTTAGTTCTGAATCTGAATGTACTGATTATGATGATATGCCTAAATTACTTGATGATAATGATGATGATGATTCAGAAAATTTGATACTTCCTGAACATGGAGAAGCTTTGGTTGCTAGACGCCTAGACGTGCTTTGAACATGCAATGTAAAAAGAAGAAAAGCCTTTGAGCAACGTGAGAATATTTTCACACTAGATTTTGTTTGATTTAGTGGAAAGGAGTGTTTATCTTATTGTTGATGGGGGTAAGTGCACTAATGTTGCTATGTAACCATGGTAAACAACTGAACTTAACTTGTCCTCCAGCATCCTATCGCTTATAGGTTGGCAATGGTTAAATGATGTGGGGAGGTGAAGTAATAAACAGGTGCTTGTGCCATTTTCTATGGATGGTATGAAGAGATGAAATTTTGTGTGATATAGTACCTATGCAAGCTGGACATCTATTGTTGGGAAGACCATGGCAATATGATAGAAGAGCGCTTCATGATGGCTTCCACAACCGATATTCTTTGATCCATAAGGGGAAAAAGGTGGTTCTTGTACCATTATCACCTCAAGAGGTATATGAAGATCAAAGAAAGATAGTTGAAAGAGAAAGAGAGGTTTCGGCCTTGAGAAAACATGAGAGTGAAAATTTGAGAATGAGAGAACAAAAGAGAGAAAAGAGTAAGGATGAGGGAAAAGAGGCCACAAAAATAACAAAACAAATAAATGGCCCAATTGTGAGTGAAAAACAGAAAAGAGAGGAGAAAAAGAAACAGACTTTTTATGCTAGAACTAGGGAGGTTAAGTGTGCCATTGCCTTGGAGAAGCCCGCCCATATTGCTTCTTTAGGGTTACAAGGAAGTTTTTGTTTAACTGGAATCTAACACTAACTTGACAATTTGCTTCTATGTTTGTTTCTATGTGCAGGAATTTTGATGAAATGTTCTTTCCTAGTGAATTACCAAGTGGGGTTACCACTTTAAGAGGAATAGACAACATCAAATTGACTTCATTCCTGGATCCCCCATTCAAATAGGCCTGCCTTATTAGAAGCAATCCCAATGGAAAACAAGGAGTTGCAAAGGCAAGTCGGATGAATTTAATGGAGAAAGGTTTGGTGAGAGAAAAGTATGAAGCCCGTGTGCCGTTCCCCTTGTGCTTCTAGTACCTAAAACGGATGGATACATGGCCGGGCATGTGTGTTGATTGTAGCGGCAGTCCCAAAATACAGTAAAGTATAGACCACCCTATCCTCGACTTGATGATATGGTTAGATTGAAAAAATTTTTTGGGCCATGGGGGGGGGGGGCAACTTATTTCTAAAATTGATTTAATGAGTGGTTCCATCAAAATTAGAATGCAACCAGGTGAATAGGAAAACTGCTTTTAAAAACTAAGTAATGGTTTTGGTAATGAATGGTTAGTTTATGGCCTTTTGGACTATCTAATGCACCTAGTAGCTTTTTATGAGGCTTATGAACATGTATTGCGTGCCTTCTTAGGAAGTTTGTTGGTTGTATACTTTTGAATGATATACTCATCTAATAGCAAGTCTCTTAAATGATCATATTGAGCATGTTAGGATAGTGGTTACAAAACTTTGAGGACAAGAAAAGTTGTATGCTAAAACTTAACAAATGCACATTTTCTTGTATAGATAGACTTGTATTTCTTGGTTTTTATTTTGTGAGTGCACAGGGTAATTGAAGTAGATGAGGAGAAAGTGGAAAGCCTATCAAGAATGCAACTCCCAACCCAAATCAGTTTCTGAAGTTAGGAGTTTTCATGGGTTGGCAAGCTTTTATAGGAGATTTGTTAAGGATTTCTCTTTAATTGCAGCACCACTAATAGAAATTATCAAAAAGGAAATTGGGTTCAAGTGGGGAGAAGAACAACAAAGGGCATTCGAAACACTAAAAGGGAAGTTAACTTCTGCACCTATACTTTCTTTGCCTAATTTTTAGAATACTTTTGAGATTGAGTGTGATGCTTCTGGAGTTGGAATTGGGGCTGTCCTAATGCAAGAAAAGAAGCCAATTGCCTACTTTAGTGAGAAGTTGAATGGAGCACAACTCAACTATTCAACCTATGACACAAAGAATTGTATGCCTTGGTAAGAACTCTAAATGTTTGGCAACACTACTTACTACCTAAAGAGTTTGTCATCCATACAGACTATGAGGCCCTAAAACACTCGAAGGGTCAAGGTAAGCTCAATAAAAAGCATGGTAAGTGGGTTGAATTTATTGAACAATTTCCATATGTGATTAAACACAAGCATGGAAAAGATAATGTTATTGCCGATGCATTGTCAAGGAGATATACTCTAATTACTGCTCTTAGTTCAAAATTGCTTGGACTTGAGTATGTTAAAAAATTATATGTGAATGATTCTAACTTTGGCAATATATATGTGGCATGTGAGCATGGAGCATTTGATAAATTCTATAGACATGATGGATATTTGTTTAAGGGCAACAAACTTTGTGTGCCTAAATGTTTAGGAGCAACAAACTTTGTGTGCCTAAATGTTCTATGTGAGATTTGCTTGTGATTGAATCTCATTGTGGGGGATTAATGGGACACTTTGGGGTACATAAGACTTATGATATGCTGAATGAACATTTTTATTGGCCTCATATGCGTAGAGATGAAAGATGTAGAGAGGGTTTGTAACTCTTGTATTACTTGTAAACAGGCCAAATCTAAGTCTATGCCTCATGAATTATACATGCCTTTTACCTGTTCCTAGTTCTCCTTGGATTGATTGGATTGATATATCTATGGACTTTGTTAACTTGGATTACCTAGGATAAACGTGGTAAAGATAGCATATTTGTTTGTTGTTGATAGATTTAGCAAGATGGCCTTCATTTTATTCCTTGTCATTAAAACTGATGATGCCAATAAATGTTGTGAATTAATTCTTTAAAGCAGTTGGTAAGAATTGCTGGGGTAAAACCAAGAACAATAGTTTTGATAGGGATGCAAAGTTTTCTTTCACACTTTTGGGAGGGTTTTGTGGGGGTAAACTTTGGAACTAAATTACTTTAATTCTACAAATTGTCAATCCACAAACAGATGGACAACTGAAAGTTGTGAATAGAATTTAGGAACATTGCTTCGTGCTATTGGTGGGTAGAACTTGAAAACTTGGGAAGTTGTTTGCCATTCATTTGAGTTTGCAATTTATAATCGTAGCATACATTCTACTCAGGTTTTAAGCCATTTGAACTTGTTTTTATGGCTTAATTTCCACTAAAACTGTATTAGATCTTGTTTCCTTTACTTTTGAATGAACATTTTTTTTTTTTTTTTTTTTTTTTTTTTTTTTTTTTTTTTTTTTTTTTTTTTTTATTTTTTTTGTTTCTAAATCTGTAGATGGTAAGAAAAGCAGAAATTGGTGAAGTTCTTTCCAATGAGAAGGTCTAGAGCACATAGAAAGGGAAACAAGCAATATTGCTAATCAAGCCAAACAAGGGCAGGAAGAAGTTTAGTAATTATGCCGGTGATTGGGTTTGGGGTACATTTCGCAAGGAAAGATTTCCCACCAAAAGGAGATAAGCTAGATGCACGTGGAGATGGGCCATCCAAGTCTTAGAACGCATCAAAGACAAATGCTAAAATAGACTTACCAAGGTGGAGTAATAATGTTTCTGCACTTTTTAATATTAGTGATTTTGGTCTCCTTTGAACAATGGATTGCAGAATTTGAGGGACAAATTTTTTTAAAGAAGGGGGGGATGATACGGATCCACTACCACCAAACCCACCTATGAGCTTCAAGGAAACAAGGACACAACAATGGCAGATGCTTAAGCAACTTTCCTAATGGGACCAATTAACAAGGAGCCGTGCAAAGAAGTATGGAGCCACCATGTCCTTATATATTCAAGAACAAATCAACAGAGCTCCATGACCTTGCCCTTTCAACAAGTGCTATGAAGAACTTGAAGGAACCTAAGTTCTCACCTTAATAGAAGCACAAGTTGGTGGGGAACAAATGTTTGGATCATGTTGGAATCGCGCTCGCGATTTGCGCTGCCTAACTCACTGCCTCTCCTTTGCGCTTCTCGCGCTCGCGCAGTGAAGATTCGCGCTCGTGAAGTGTCGCTCGCGCTCGCGCATGTTGGAATCGCGCTCGCGAGTTGCGCTGCCTAACTCACTGCCTCTCCTTTGCGCTTCTCGCGCTCGCGCAGTGAAGGTTCGCGCTCGCGCTCACGCATGTTGGAATCGCGCTCGCGACTTGCGCTGCCTAACTCTCTGCCTCTCTTTTGCGCTTCTCGCGCTCGCTCACGGTAGAATCGCGCTCGCGAGGTGTGGTCGCGCTCGCGTATGTGAAGCTCGCGCTCGCGAAGGAAGCTAGTTAGCTTATTTTGTGTTTTTTTGCTTTCGCTGCCTAACTCTCTGCCTCTTTGCGCTTCTCGCGCGCTTCGGAGGTGCAACGGTAGAATCGCGCTCAGCGGGGTTGGTGGTCGCGCTCGCGTATGTGAAGCCTGCGCTCGCGAAGGAAGCTAGTTAGCTTATTTGTGTTTTTTTTTTGCTTTGTTAATGGGTTTGGGCCTCCCAATATTTCGCAACCTTGATTTAATTTAGCTTATTTTGTTTAGATTTAGTGTCAACTTTGTAAAGATTTGGAATAGAGCCATAGAGGGGAATTTATTCTAGATCTTTGATCTATTCCAAAACTTGTCATTGAGTTCATGAAATTTATTTTCATTGGGTTCCGCGTCATGGACCTCTTAGATTAGTATAAATAGCTTGCTATTTTGTAATTATTCAACATTATTCAATCAATTAATCAAAGAGAGATCTTCTTCTTCATGCTTAGGCGTGTTCATGTTTTCAGAGGGTGTGAGATTGCATTCTTCTAATTGCATCAAGAATCAAGGTAAACTTATCAATTCTTTATGGCGTTTATCTTATTCTTCTACTCTATTATTGGTTACTCCTATTATTGGTGTTTCTTGCTTCTTTAAAAGAAGCTTTTGGGTATAGAGGGGAATTTATTCTAGATCTTTGATATATTCCAAAACTTGTCATTGAGTTCATGAAATTTATTTTCATTGGGTTCCGCGTCACAATATGTGAAATTTTCAAATGAATTCCACAAACTAAACAATCTAATGTTTTACGACAAAACTATCATTCTCTATTTATAAAGTCAAATTTTCACTTTTTTATTATTTAAATTATTTAATTTATCAAACTTGACCAAAACCTTTTAAAAAAATTTTTTCTAGAAACTTATTATTGTATTTTTATTTTAATATTTTTTATTTTTTAGCATTTTTTTTACTATTGATGAGAGAGATTCAAATTAAATATCCATTTTCACTAAATTAAATGCAATAAATTTATTAATATTTTTTATTTTATATATTTATTTTAATAAAAATATAAAAATTATATACCATAATTGCTTGTGTGGATCTTGATTTTGTTCCTTAATCCAAGGGATTTGATCCTAATTCAAAGGGATTTTACCTTATTTTGTGGGATTTTGCCATATTTTGAGGGATTATTCCTAATCCTTAGGAGATTTGATGGACCATTATCTAGTGGTGGATTGTGCCTGAATTTCTAAGGGATTTTTAATCTCGATTATTGGTGTTTCCGTTTCATTATAAACGTGGGGTGCCATAGAGGCGAACTTATATCTCATTCTTTGATCCGATCCGTATCATTAACTACTTGCGGATAAGATAACAAAGAATAGTTGACCATATCTTTGAGATTGAGAAAATCTACTACAATCCTTGTCAAATCTAAGAATCCTACTTAAATTGGGTTGCATTAAAAAAAAAAGGAACAAGGCAGCACGCCCGTGCTACACCTCAAGCACACCCGTGCTAGATCTTGCCTACCACTTGTTGGACTAGGCCTAATTACACACGCCCGTGCTTCTAGCATGCCCGTGCTCGGTTCTGACCCTATTAAAATATTATTTTCTTTTGGTCAACATGTGCTTCCATCAATGTGAGAAACTTAGATGTTCTCCATGCTTCCTTGAGCTTTATGTTTGAGTGGTAGCCA